CCTGAGTAGCCAAGATTACAGGCATGACCACTGATGCCTCGCTTAATAACAATAACTTATTATTTAGTAGTTATATTATTTGTTATTATATTATTATGTATTATTATTTGTGCTCGTACTTAGGCAGAACTCAGGTCTTAGGCACTGTCCCTTCTTTTTTTTGCTCAAGGCAGGCACTTTACCATTTGAGCTGTATTTCTTGCTTTTTGGTATTGATTGGAGACAAGGATCTCATAGACTTTTCTGCCCAGGCTGGCCTCAAACTTCAGTCCTCAGTTCTTTGTTTTTCTTTAATCTCTTGCATCTCACTGAATTTTCGTAGGATCATTATTTAAAATTTCTTTTAGATATTTAAAATATCTTCTTTAAACTGAGAACTATTTCTGGAGGTTTTTTTTTTTTGAGGGGGTCATGTTTTCTCATGTCATCATGTGGTTATCCACACATCTTGGATAATGTTTGCCTTTTTCCAGTTTTATGAAGTGTCTTTTGTAGGAAGGGACTTTCTATTTAGATGGGATTTAAGAATTCAGTTGAATACATGTTTTAGTTGGTCGTAGGGGGATTCCAAAACATGGTGCCCGTATACTTTCTTCATCTTTTTTTTTTTTTTGTCCGTCGTGAGGCTTGAACTCTGGGCCTGGGCGCTGTCCCTCAGCTCTTCAGCTCAAGGCGAGCACTCTACCACTTGAGCTACAGCGCCATTTCTGGTTTTCTGGTGGTTTATTGGAGATAGGAGTCTCACGGTCTTTCCTGCCCGGGCTGGCTTTGAACCGCGATCCTCAGATCTCAGCCTCCTGAGTAGCTAGGATTACAGGCGTGAGCCACCAGCGCCCGGCTACTTTCTTCATCTTTTATGTCGGTCGTGTCATTGAGTGTCCTGTAAACTAAAGTATTCATGGGGCAGTTCTGTGGCTTTCCAGTAGACACAGGCTTCTAAAGGTTTCTGTCTATAGGCTCCACAGAATCCAGCCCTCATGGCGTTGGTATATATAGTGGCAGCTGCCAAAGTTTGGGTGGTGTAGGTTGTGAATAGAGCTTTGCTCAGGTCCCTCATTACAAGTTCAATGTAATGCCAAAATAAGGACATGATCAGTCCTCCCGGGTCACAGAATGTACATTAGGCCACCCAGGAAACCTCAGGATGAGCATGGGAGATGCCTGTGCCAGCAGCCACAGTTCTGGAGCTGGGCTGGCGGTGGGGGTAAGGATGGACCTTCCCCTGGTGCCTCAAGAGGAGCTCAGCTGGTACTGAGTTTGTGGCCCTCGTGACTGTGGGCTTGATACGTTGGAACACACTGGTGACTTTTCTAGGTTCTCTGGGGGTGACTGCAGTTGGTTCTGGGAGTTGGAGTGCTTAGCTGTTTTCACAGAGGTGTGGCAGCTACACGATAGCTTCTCTGGGCCCCAGGAACAAGCACAAGTGGATCCAGGGCGTTAGACACAAGTACTGATTGGTGGAATTCTGTGGATTGTGGTGGAGATGGTCCCAAATTAGGAACAGTTGGGCTGGTGGAGCTGGTACCCGTGCCCCACTGCCTGTGGAGGAGACCTCCCTTAGGCCCCTAGGGTTAAGCAGAAGTGATGCTAGGGCTTGCACCTTTGATATCTGTAGCCATGTGGCTGCAGAAGATGGGTTAGAATGGCTTTAGATTGTGAAGGGCAAACTCTTTTGGACACTTGGCTTGCAGCATTGGTGGCTGTAATCCTGTCACTACAGAGCAGGCATGGAACTCTTCTCAGAATCCCCAAGGACAAGCTTGCTCCATGATGAGGCTTTTTGTTTTTCCACCAGCAAGTGCAGTCCTACCACCATAGTCCTGGAAGAGGAATTCTTGTTCTTGTTGGGCAGGTGCAGAAGTGGGTGGGAATTGGATCTGTCACCTCAAAATATGTTTTCTCCTTACATCATTTTAGCAGCTTTTCTTCCTTTCTTTCCCTTTTTTCTTTCTCTCTTTCTCTTTCTTCCTCTGCCTCCCTCCCTTTCTTTTCCTCTCTCCCTCCTTCCCTCCCTCTCTCTCTCTCTCTCTCTCTCTCTCTCTCTGTCTCCCTCCCTCCCTCCTTTCTTTCATTCTTTCATTCTTTTTCTTTCTTTGTGCTGGTACTGTGTCTTGAACTCAGGACCTCTTGTTCTTGCTTGGCTTTTTTTTGCTCAAAGCTGGCGCTTTACCACTTGACCTATATCCTCACTTTTGGCTTTTTGCTGGCTGATTTGAGAGTAGGAGTCTGAGGGATTTTTCTGCCTGGGCTGGCTTCAAACCACAATCTTCCAATTTCAGCCTCCTGAGTACCTAGGATTATTGGTGTGAACCATTGGTGCTTGGCTCACTTGTGTGTTTTTAACATGGAAATTGTGTAAGATTACTTCATTCCTACCTTTTCTCAGTTGTTTCTTCCTTATATTTGTTTTTATCCTTTCCTGCTTGGCAAAATTTGACTTCTGTGTAAGGATGCTTTTCTAGTCCTTGTGTAGTTTCAGCCCCGTGGAAACCGCTTTGGCAGTGAGTGTCCTCAGGGACAGCTGTGCCGGTCCCCTCCTCTCCCCTCCCCTGTGCGGGGCAGATGGTGCATTTCTTCTGCAAACCTGGGCTGCTTTTCCAAGTTGCTGACCTTTCTACTGTCCTCACACAACCTGGACTTCATCATCCTTTTGGATGGACGGCTGGAGCACTGGACTTGCTGAGATAGCTCTTTGGAAAGAGGGGAAGATGTGATCTTCCTGCAAATATGGGAAAGAACCAGAAAATGCCTTTTATGGCTTTTGCTTTTGTCAGAAGACATAAAGTTAGGAGCTGGTGCCTCCATAGTCCAGCCCCTGCTCACCCCACCCCGCAGCCATCTCTCTGCCTTTTATTCACTAGGTACGTGCCCAGTTATCTTTGACACTCATCACCTCCAAGGGAGACCTTTTCCATGCTCTGTGTAGAGTAGGGTAAAGGTATGTCTTGAGCTCATTTTCTCATCTTTCAGTCATCATGGAGATGAGGACACTGCTCACCTCCATACTCACAATCTCAGTGCTAGATCAGCACCCAGGGCACATGAACGGCTCAGGAAATGTTGTTAGAATAAACAGATAATATCCTATTTGCCCCCTCTTTGTCTCTTTGCTTTAATGAGTGTCTACATGTGTGCATTTGTGTGTGAAGGATGAATCAGGGAAGATAGAGGAAAAAGGACGAGGAGCCCAGATTGGCTTAGTGAATGA